GGCGGCCTGCTCAGGCTTGAGCTGCTTCATGGGCGGCTTCCAGTTTCTTTCGGTTGAAGGTGTAGAAGTCGAGGTCCTGCCTCAGGTCGTCCATCTCCAGCGCCGGACAGTCAGGGAGCATCCGGTTGCGGTACTTCTGGACCTCCGAGTGGCCCACTAGCTTGAGAAAGCCGAACTCGGTGCGGAGGTTGAAGATGAGGTCGAACAGGGTGTCGAGCTGGACCTTCAGGAAGTTGTTGACGCCACCCTCCATGCCCAACTCCCGGCCTCCCACCAGACAGATGCCGATGGAGTCGAGGTTGTGACCGGGGGTGTGCGTCCCGATGAGGTGGCGGTCCCGTGTCTCCACGACTGTCGCGTCACGCTCGATGATGAAGTGGTACCCGATGTCCAACAGCCCCATCTTCAGCCCTTGGTCCCACGCCTGGTCACGCCAACGGGGGACTTCGGGGATGGACTCGATCTCGGGGATCGTATGGGAATCATGGAGGATGATGCGGGTGGTCGAGACGCGGGGCCGGTACTTGATGAGGCGGGTCACCACCAGGAACCCAGAACGTCATCGGGATTGGGTTTGAACCCATGGGAAGCCCAATGGTAGAAGGCCCGCAGCGCATAGAACGCGAAGGTGAGGATAATCCCGAGAAACGCTAGGAAAGCGACGAGCGGGATCAGTAGGCCGCCCGTGAGGATCGCCCCGATGATGAACCCGACGATCAGCGCGACCAGAAGGGCAGTCATCACGGCCCCGAAGATGGGGCCATTGAGGGTGATCCCCTCGGAGTTGCTATTCTTTGCCATTGAGTATCTCCTCTGGGCTCTTCCCCGGTCCCTGCTCCTTCGTCCACGCCTCGGGTATGATCCGTGAGGCCCACTTGAACCCGTACTTGTCGGCCCACATGGCGTAGCTCGTCGGGGACCCCTTGTTGATCTTGTCGTGAGGCCGCTGAAAGACGAAGCGGATGTCGAGGTCGGGATGCTGGGTCTTGATGAACAGATGCTTGGCGCGGTCCTTGGGCTCCAGCTTGCCCTTGGTCTCGATGATGATCCCGTTGTCGAGGATGAAGTCGGGGCTGTAAGTCCGCCGAGTCTCAGGCACGATGTAGGGTATCTTGAGTTCCTCGAAGCGGACCTTCTGGCCGAGAGCTTCGAGATGCCGCGCATTGGTTTCTTCTAGGCCGGACCTGAAGCCATGCCTCAAGCCGGACTCTAGGTTCGCGTTTACGCGCTTCGGCCAGGTCCTACCTTTCGGACGACCTGACCAGTTCTTCTTGGAGACCCCCATACAGGCTCACGAGGTCGCGGGCCGGATGGAGATGAAGGCAGCGATGAGGGCCAGCCCCGCAGCGACGTATGCCACAGGGTCCGAACCCCCAGTCACCACGTGGGCAGCGACTCCGACGACAACCGCAAGGGATGCACCGGAGGCCACCGAGATGACGAACTTGAGGGCGTTCTTCATGTCAGCCCCAGAAGAGTCGGAAGATGGTGGCGATGATGTCAGCGAAGCCCCACCCAGCACAGAACATGATGACGAATATCAGTACGCCTTGCATCAGTAGTCTCCCCCGCTTTCGTCACCATCTGCACCACCGAAGCCTTGGTCTTCACCATCAGCGACGTAGCCACCTTCGACGGCCCCGAAGCCACGGCTGCCTGCGGAGCCTTGGATGAGCTGGGTTACCTGCACCTTGGCGAAGTCGAGGCGGACACCGGCCTTCTTGGAGGACGACACCGCAATCCCCCGCATGGAGAACAGGACGCGGCCTTCAGACCCTCCGAAGACCTGCTTGTTGATGATGTTGTCACCAGCATCGCGGATTTCGATCTTCACGATCTTCGTGGAGCCGTCCTTGAGGATAATTTTGGCGTTCTGCTTGAAGTGGAAGATGGTCCGGCCCGTGGGCTCACCCGTCTCCTCGTCCAGCTCATCATTGTAGGGGACGTAAAGTTCCCACTGCTTGGCCTGGGCGGGCTTCATCTCGTCGGTGTGCTCGTTGAGGTAGGACTCGGCGGCACCGTCGATCTTGGCCTTGAGCTTTGCGGCATCCTGCCCATCGAGGATCAGGTCCACCGAGTAGAGGCCGTCATCATTGAACTTGGTGTCCGGCTTGTTGACCCAGGGATACTGGAACTCGCCAATAGGGGAGATGTGGAAGGTGGTGGCCATAGGGTCTCCATTCAGGTGTTGTAATTGAAGCCGCTGCTTCTGGGAGTTTGCGAAGGCGTTTAGTGTGTCAAATGGTGGGGTTTTGCGAAATGCGGAGAGCCGCGAAGTCACGAAGAGCTTCGAGCTGGTCGTTGCCCTTCTTGTGGAAGTCCTCCTGATGATGGAGAACCTTCTTGCCGAACTCGTAGAGGCCCTCGGGTGAGCCGCCGTAGCGTTCGACCATAGTGGCGAAGAGCACTGCGGTTGCTGCCACCAGGTGTTCCCCACGCTCGTTGCGAAGGGGGTCGAGGAGCCGCTGGGTGTGGGCGGCGATCACATCGCGGGGAATGAGATTGAGGAAGTCTTGATCGAGGCGGGTGGACAGTGAGTTGGGCATCGGCTTGTACCTCATTATTCAGATGGACGCTTAATTAGTGTGTCATGTGGCAGCATTATGCGAAAAAGTAGTCGGACGTGTAGACCTCCTCTATGTCTAGGTCCCCGGTTTCGGGCATTTTAGGCCATGGCGCGTCTTCGCCAGCCACTTCTTTGCAGGCGTCGAGGAAGTCCTCCAAGACCGGCTGCTGGTAGGTCTGCACAAACGCTTCCCGTATGCACTCGAAGAGCGTCCACATGTCAGCCGCGTGTGTTCCGTAGCTGTCGTGGATGGTGGTCATGGAACCGACCCCGGCCTCCT